AACGAAGCCCTTTAATTAGTATACTGCTTCTGGTGAAGTTCCACTACAGATATTTCCTAGCATCGAGACAGAAACTGTCCCAGCGGTTCGAACTTCCCCTCACTAACCGCTGACGCGTCACCTGTAGGAGAACCGCAAGGCATATTGCTTCTCTTGGTTCCGAACTCCGCAGCTCATTTGACTAATGCTAAGCCACACGAGTAGATGCAGAGGATCATGAAGATTAAGGTGGTTTAGCATATCGCCCGGCGGAAGGATTACCATCATTGAACTCTCGTCGAAGAATACCTGTAAACGCATCGAACACCATCCCCCAAACAAAATATAGGGAATGGTAAATTCTGGCTATGCAGAATGACATTGCCCCTTTCTCATCCTTGCATATCAGCATTGAGCACTTCTCGGCACAAATTGTGGAAGCAGTATCATCATACGCGGCCTAGCACGGGCAGGCTTCCTTTCGGCATTAGTTCAACTTGTTCTTAGAAAAACCCCTTCGGCCTCATTAAACCGAGAAGGGGCTGGAAATCAGAGGGCATCTAGCTATCACAAACTAGATACGTTGCAAGACCAAATCTAAAGCAATCAAACATCAAGGGTCACATTGCTATTCGGATCGTCTACGCAAGGCCAGAATGAAAAGAACTGGCAGACGCCTTTAGATGCAAATGCCAAAACCCATGCCATTAACAACAAGGACAGTCCGAGCCCCTATCTTCCTTGAATTTAAAAGCAATCAGAGTATATCACTTCACTTCAGTAATGACGTATTTCCTCTCCTGTCCTTTTTCAACGGAGAAAACGTGAAGTTCTCTTCGGACATCATGTTGTATCCGCCGCTAATGGGACGTTGAGTTCCTTTACCCAGAACACTTCTCCCGAGGGCCCTAGCATTGAAGAGACCTTTGCTTGCGATAGGCCTAATGGGCATATCATCCTCGTCTGCATCGAAGAGCGTCTTCCCTACGCCGCCATTCGCGCCGGAACCAAGCTTACGCTTCTTCTTCCTTTCAGCAGCCGGTTCCTCAGTGAACGTAGCGAAGGACATGAGGGATTTTCGAGGCTGCGTCTTCTTGACCTTTTTGGAAGGCTCTTCGTCAGCACCCTTAAGCGGGACTTTGACGGGAGCGTTTTCGGACTTGTCCCTTTCTTCAAATTCTTCAGATGCTTCCTCGGTGACTTTTTCAAGGCTAGAAGCAGCCTTCTGACGACCCGCAGGTTTGGCGTTAGCCCTGTTAGATGCCGACGGTGCCAATGGTCTCGCTTTCGGTGGAACTGCCTTCTTCTGAGCCTTCGGAGGTGCTGTAGGCGTAGCATCCGCTGCGTGGCCTTCCACCTCATCCTCCTCGGCAACGGGACTGACCGGAGCTGCGCTTGCGGCTCGGTTTAGGAATGGTGTAAGGGAGAAGGTTGACACATCGCCCACAGCTATAACAGAAGTGGCTCGCTTTGGCCGCTTTGCGGGGAAGCCGTCTCCTGGCGTTCCTAGATTGGTGGACTCGGGTTCGACAGATGCTGCGATGCGCTTCCGAGCATTCCTTGCTGGTTTAGGGCCTGTTTCAATCGATTGCTTGACAGTGTTTGAAGTCTGAACCTTCGCTAATTCTGCCTCCTTCTCCTTCAGCTTCTCCTTTGTTGATCTCAGCTTATCCCTGAAAGCATTCAGTTTCTCATCAAGGACGGTGTTCCGGCCTTGCAATTCAGCAAGCGATTTTTGATATTCTTTCTCTAGCTTCTTACGCTCACACCTTTCTTCGTCGAGATCCTTGCGAAGTTCCTCTACCCGAGAATCACTTTGCAGGCCGCTCTTCTTGTTAGCTTTCTCCGCCTTTTGGCGCACACGTTTCTCTTGTTCAAGCTCCTCTCGAAGCTCCTCCAGTTCAGCAGCATCCTGTTCTGCTTTCTTGCTGGCCTTCTCTGCCTTTTGGCGTGCGCGTTTCTCCTGTTCAAGCGCTTGCCTGAGTTCTTCCAGCTCAGCATTACGTTCCTCGTCCTTCTTAGAAGCTTTGTCGCCTTCCGTCTTGTTAGCTTTGTCAAGCTTAGCTTGGATACGCCCTGCGGCTGATTGCTGGGCTTCAAGATCAGCCTGAACTTTCTCTATGGTTTTTTCAGCTCTGGCGAGAGATGCCTCCACCTTCAGCCGGTCATTCTTTTCCTTGACAGCCTCTTTCCGCATCTCCTCAAGCTCAGCCCGCAGTTCCTCCTCTTGTTCCGACTTCTTTCCTTGCTTTGCCATGGCACGTGAAGAGACTCGCTTCTCATTCTCTAGCTCGACTTGCAATGTGGTCAATTGACGCTGTAGTGATAATTTTTCGGCGAGCAGCCCTTGATTAGACTCGACTTGGGCTCGTAAGTGTTCGACTTCTGGTCGTAAGGATGACATTTCGCGGGTTAGGGCGAGCTTCTCTGCAAGAATTTTGTTCGAGTCGGAAGTGACATTCTCCATAGCCTTGAGCTCCGCCTACCAAATTGGTCAGAGGACAGGCGCATCTGTGGTAAATGAGAGCTTGCGTACCTTGAGATTAGCGACTTCCCGAGCTTGCGTCCGAAGTTGATTCTGTGCCAGCTCGCTCTCCGCCTTCAATTGGTCCAGGCTCAACAATGCCTCGTCTAGAGCCTCTTCCAAGCCATCACTACGCGCCTGTTCTTCATCGAGTTGCTCGCGTAGTTCATCTGCCTCGTCTTGCAGCAGATGTTGGGTGACTCGCAGCTTCCGGATCTCCTCATCCTTTGAAACAATCTCGACCGAGTGCTTGCTTATCTCGAGGCTCAACTCTAGTTCCGCCGTACGCAGCGAGTGTTTGAGCTAGTAGTTGATTGTGAGTTCGTCTATACTGTTTCCCGGACCACGTAAAGCTTTTGAAGCATCAAATATACTTACATCTTTGACCTCGTAATTACCATCAGCCTCCATGATGGAAGGCATGACTAAGTCTATTCACCAAATGATGCGAAAGTGGAAGGGATGAGAATAGATGCTAGTAGGGTTAGGGCGCGTCCTGGCATAATAAACAAAACATCGGCGTTTTCGGTGTTGCGCCGACACATGCTCGGCAACCCCTGTCGCCCGCTAGATTACGTACACCGACAAAGGTGGCCTTTGAGCATAACATAGTGCTAGAGCACCGCCAACTCCAAGAGCTACGCTTCTCTACGAATCCATTCCGAATCCCTACAATGCGGTGGCTGCAGCTCCTTGCGGCGTCTCTCCTACCTCTTACTGCTTTGGCAGCTAAAAAGCCGTCGGGCGACCGATTCAATGACTTTCGCACGAAATCACTATCTACTGGCAATCTAAAGCTCGACGACACCGTCTACACGCAATTGACAAAAGCTCCCAGGGATTATGCTGTTGCAATCCTTCTCACGGCTCTCGAGACACGGTTTGGATGTACTCTATGCAGGGAATTCCAGCCAGAGTGGGATTTGCTGAGCAAGAGCTGGATTAAAGGCGACAAGAGTGGCAAGAGCCGGTTGGTCTTTGGCACTTTGGACTTCGTAGATGGAAAGAATACTTTCCAGTCTGTATGTTGACCTATTGTCATTCGGACTGCAGCCTAATCGCTGATGCTTGAACTAGCTGATGCTCCAAACTGCCCCCGTTCTCCTCTACTTCCACCCCACCATCGGACCAAGCGCGAAAATCGATGCACAGCCTGTCCGATTTGACTTTACAGCCGGGTAAGCTGCTTATACATACCTTAGAAATTTGACTGTGATATGCTAACACCCCGGAAGGCCCCAGTCTGCTGAGCAGATCCACGCGTGGATCTCTCGCCAGGTTCCCGCGGACGCCCCGAAACCGCCCGTTGTCCGACCTATTAACTACGTTAAGATCGTATCTGTTACTACTGCTGTCCTAGGTTTGGTTACCTTCTTCGCTGTCACTGCCCCATACGTCGTCCCTATCCTCCAGAACCGCAATCTTTGGGCTGCTTTCAGCTTGATTGCTATCCTGTTATTCACCAGTGGGCACATGTTCAATCATATCAGGAAGGTTCCATATGTAGCAGGTGATGGCAAGGGCGGAATCAGTTATTTTGCAGGCGGGTTTAGCAACCAGTTTGGTCTGGAGTCGCAGATAGTTGCTGCAATCTGTAAGTGGTAACATCGCACTGTGGTGAATATGGCTAATGAGTGGAATTTTAGACGGAATACTCGCTTTTGCTACCATCTCCCTCGCCCTCAAGGCACCCCGCATTGCCGACGCACGAGCCCAGCAATTCGCTGTATTTCTTTGGAGCGGTGTGCTACTCTGCATGTACAGCTTCCTTCTAAGCGTTTTCCGAACAAAGAATGGAGGATACCAGTTTTGGCTACCTCCGTTCTAATGAGCGTATGAATATATGCCAGAGGTTGTGTAGTGACAGGAGAATATTACCCTCAATGGGTAGGACATAAGGGCCTTCAAGGTCAGCAGTCACTAGCCCATCCGGACAGTTGGCCAAACTTGCGGGGTGACGGGGAATCCAAACATGTACCATAGGGTTGAGAAATATTCCTTCAGTCATGTAGCTGAGCATCAGGCGTTAGAGGAAAAGGAGCGCCTAAAATGTTTCATATATCCCTAAATAGTGATTACATTTATTTGGCTATCGCGATTTTCAGCTTATGGTGTTGTGACGTTGACGATAATGATCGCAGCTACCTCCTGCCAACGCAAAATAGTGTTAAATTATTTCTTGCTCAAACAGACTGCTAAGGCTTGGAATTCTTGCCCTATCACTGATTTCCCTATAATATCCGTATATCAATCTTATTCCACTCAACCTCTATAGCTATTATGAATCCCGGTTGCGATCCTATCGCAAGTCAATGTGCTTCGTGAATCATTCGATATAGATTTACCTCATAGATAGTGTAAGAGTGTAGGCTAGGCCCCATTTCATAACTTCGGTGCAATCGCTTCGACGAACAATTTGCCAATCTTCATAGTTTCCGCTAAGCAAAAAAATGCTGTGCATTCGGACAACGTAGAGAGGAGGCAAAAGCAAAAGAAATGGACTTGCTGGGAATCGAACCCAGGACCTTTCCCATGTTGTGGTCTAGCCTAAAGGCTAGAAATGCTAAGGGAAAATTATACCACTAAACCACAAGCCCTAAATTAAATGCTTGAAGGGCTTTTGTATTTTTAGAATTTATATCATGAAAAAATTTGAAAAGACAATTTCAATTTGCAAAACAAAAGTTGAAATTTAAACAGCGTGCGGGGCATTAAGACTAATTCTAGAGAGGCTTAGGCGTCATGTAGCTTACCTACAATATTACCTACTAATTAAACCAGAAAATACAAAGTATAATCTAAGGCCGTTGATCAGCAGACTCCACCGCCGGGTGATCCAAAAAAAAAAAAAACGGATCGCTCTGACTGGATTCTCCACATCTCTTCCTAACAAAAACAGTGGCTAAGTTGAGCTGCTCATGGCATTGCTTTGGGAATCATCGTCACTGGAGAATGCATAGTGAGCCTCAAGAAGCGCGGTACGGAAGCGGGTGTGAACGAGCTGTGAGGATGTAAGAATAGAAATACCCATAGAAGAATCAAAGGAACTTTTTTTTCCTTGAGAACAGAAAAACAGGCCCTTCAATTGAAGTTTCGAATGTCTATCTATAACAACGAGGATTCGCAAAACATCCATTTTTGTCCTTAAATAGTCCGGCAGAAGCTTTTTCAATAATTTTCAATCAATCTTGTGCTAACCCTAGTTGTGGTGCGAATGATTGTGGAAGGTAGGATATCTGTCGTCGAAAAGGCCAATGCGCATTGCGTACAACATTGCTCTCCCTGGACGGTGCTTCCATCAAAAGCTAAGCTTAGTGCCACATTATACTTTAGGTTAGTATCTAGCAACACAGTTATGTTCCGCTTTTTACTTCTATCGGAATTGGCAGGCTGGTCAGTAGAAATGTGATCCTTGCTCCACTCTCCTACGATATGATTGAACGTGAATTCCCGATAATGCGCCCTGCTGATCTTCTCATCAGTCTCTTTGCGGTGGCTACATGTCGGAAAATGTGCTCGATGCACTGCCATCAACGCATCGGATGGGTCAATGATTCGACGATATGAGGCGGATCGCACCATTGTTAACAGTCGGAACGGAATATCGGCCGCTCCAATAATGGCGGTGTCCAACATCGCGTCATCCGAAGCGACTGTTTCATTCCTGCTTCCCCCTCCCGAGAACGTTTCTGACCCTGCCACTTCTGCCATCTCCATGACTCTCTCTGTTTGAACAACTGCATGTTCACCGCTTGTGCCGCAAAGTTGCCCTTGAGAGATAGAAGCCCCGAAGAAGATCCTTTCGTTTATCGGATTGGTGAGATCCAACCAGGGTGCTGCGATGACCAGGCTACCATACTGGATAGCAGCAAAAATAGTCCACCCTTCCCCTATTTGAGAATGAAGTGTTGACCACTTCCCTCCTAAGAATGCCAAAGCGGCAAGCGCGAACCACGTGTTCCACAAGACAACACCTTGAAACACTAACTCGGCAAAGATTATACGTAGGGCTTCTCTCTCACTCTCAATATCGGCAAGTCCAGAGGTGTCGTCAAGACCAAAGCTATCCACAATTCCATGGGATAGCAAAAGAAGTAATTCGTCAAGCGCCGCTTCCCTTAAACACCCAACTTTGCCCGAGCCCAAAGGCTCCTCTCTCTTACAAGAACTACAGGCGCAGCGACGTTTTGTCCACTGAATAGCAGACATCGCAATGGGAAAGCAGCCTATTATATCTTTCCAGCTTCGTTGAGACAGGTCTTCATGTGCGCGGTGATACGGAATTCCCTGCCACACGTCGACCTCTACCTTAGCCTGACGCTGAAGTGCTACGGAACAGTCATCCGGGATCCGGTAGACTATTATGCTGCTATTTTTTTGTCCGCAGTTCTCAAAGATGAAGCTTGGATACCGGGCCATCAAGTCTTGAATCTTCACCCGCTTGTATCTACGGTGCTCTTCTTCTCCATTCTGCCAGGCTGCAAACCCCACTGAATGTCTGTGAGGCCTTACCTCAAGGTCCATGAGCCATTTAAGCATACATTGTGCTGCAAGATGGACTTCAGCGGTTTCTTGCTGGGTAAGAATCCGATGTTGGCAGTGGTAGAGCATTGAAGTCGAGTACAACTTCTGTCTGTCCGCTGGGCGAGCAACGGTATGGCAAGCTGCGTCGCTGAAGAGCGTCTGAAATGACCCGCCTACTCGTGTTGTCATTTCCACTATATCTTGACCACTGATAACGCATGATCCCACTGATTCATCTTCGCAAGACTTTTTGACGAGAATTAAAAGTTTCTTTGGAACTCTGCCAAGTGCCTCCTCAAAGACTATTAATCCAGACACAGAGATCTCTAGATATCCGTGAAAGTGTGAAAGTACCCATGAAACAAGGTCGTGAGGGAAGTTTGTACAGGTGATAAGCATCTCTCCATCGCTACGTTGAATAGCCATGGTAAGTGCGCTGAACATCGACGGGTCAAGCGGGTGTTTGTGTACGTAAAACTTCTGGATTTCTGGAGGCAAAATCTTGAGAGTTGAACCAGCGTTGACGACGTGGAGCGCGACGCTTTCAACAAATTTCCTCAAGACTGGCGTGAGACGTGTACGGTGAATACTGTATCGCATTCTGGTTTCGTTTTGGTGGCCACCTTCGTCAAGAGCCATATTGCAAAGTGCCTCAGTAGTGTCTTCTATGCCATGGAATGCCATGAGTGTTGCAACAGTGGTGACAATATACACGTAGTTGTCATCGAATGCCATCCAACGTCCGATCGCTGCAGATATCCGAAGCTTTAGCCCTGAGATTGTACTCATTTTTTGATCCGCTGACTGGATGTTCGATCGGATACTGAGACCTCTCTCGTTTGGATAAGCTAAACCACCGATTGATGAGAGGCAGTATTCATACTCTTTCCGGTCGACTCCCTCTCTAGTAAGCCAATCCTGGACAAGACGAACAATTTCTTGTGCTCCACTCTCGCTGTTGACGGTATCAAGTAGGGCACGGGTAAGATCCACGACTTTTGCAGCGACTTCCATGCTGTGTGTCGCCGTTCGGGAGCCAGGCTGAAGGCTGGTGACGTAGAAATAACTAGAAGTTCAGAGCTGCGATCTACGCAACGGATTACTGGAATATAGATGTTCTAAGTCAAGCGAACTGCGTAGGGAAGCGTAGGCTCATTAAAAAAAATTGGGAGTTCCGATGCATGGGTCTGCCTAGATGAGATTTACTTTTAGTGAGGCGTTTCGTGGTTACACAAATGCACTCACATTTAAAGAGGCTATAGAGCCTTATCGAACAACTGGACGCAGTCAAAAAGAAGGCAATCGGCACGACAAGCTTGAGAATTCCTATTTATTATGCCTACAATCTAGCTTCGTCCCTGACACCACTGCACTCGCCATTCTTCCTACCCCCCAACCTCCCGCTGTGTTCCTTCTAGTCACCCCGGTCGGAAGACGCTAAAGGAAAAATATTCTTTCAAACCACGATCTCCTAGGCGCAAAATATCTTATAAATATCTCTCACCCACCAAATTCCCCGTAGTTGACAACTCTCATTAATATGAGATCCGTAGATGTGCATGAATAACTTTGGGCACCACTACCAGATCCTCGCAGAGCTATGGGAAGATGCATGGACTTTGAATGGCTTCAATGCAGTCTAGAAATCGTTATAATCCACTGAGATACATGTCTATTTAGAATCTACAATAATCACATACACTTTGTAGTGTATATGGGACAACCCAACCGCCAAGGTGACTCTGAGGAGGAAAATGATAAGAAAAAGAAACAAAAATCCATATTTACTATCTACTAGGCACAGCCAATCCTGCAGCCTAGATTGCTCCTACGCTAAAATAATGACGCTACGATAATCCGGTCCCATACGCCGTGATAACTTTGCATATTCTAACAAGTCTACTAATTTGATTCTAGATCGGCCTTAAAACCAACATTCTAATCAAGGAACTCCTAACTTCTTGTTCCTCTTCGTCCAGTATCATTTCCCTTCAAAGAATTAAAGAACGGCATTGCGCATAATATCCGTGACGCCAATTTTAAATGACAATGCATGATGAGGAGGATGCTAATTCAGAGGACAGGGTCCCCTATAAAAATTTAGTGTACCAAACATGATTGTCTAGTCTATAGGTCCGGGGTGTAGAGATTTGGCTTTCCGAAACTCCAAAATGACTGCGCCCGCGCTTATGTTCTACGACCTATAAAGGCAAAAGGAAACGGCTAGACATTATTCAAGGTTCAAAGAGGCGGGTACCGAGGTCTGCTGTTTTGGGTGTGAACATACGATAAGCTTCAGCCATACTGAGAGCCTACTAATAGACGCCCCCACAATCCAGATCATCGCTCGTATTGTTATGCTAAATGCGGAGAAGACTATAGATGATAGGGAATCTTTACACAGCCCTGTCATGCTGGCCTCCGATATCATCGGCCACTTCCATACCAAGGTTTAAGACCACGTACAAACGCGATGTCTATCTCATGTGTGTTCCTTCTCTCATGGCTAACATGGAACCTGATCATCAGAACCTCCTTCGCGCAATCGGGCTGCGAAGCTAATACCTCAACTTATGGCCAAAACGGTCTCGTTATCTCTTTTAAAAATCTTTGTGGCAGAGACATTGCAGCCCAAGTTGACTTTCCTGATCCAACGAATGAACTCACTCGGTCAGACTGTATCAATCGCTGCGTCGAGAAAGCGCCTCTATGCTACGGCCTCGACTTCACACGCCCGGGCACTGTTGAATTCAGCTGCTGGTTCATGAATGCTACCTTCCCCGAAAGTTCGGCTCTGTTGCAGTCATATACTGTTGATGCGGCGATGCTAAGTTCGGAGTTTCTAGCTAGGCTTTCGGGGGATTGCCTGATCATGGGATTGTTGGGCTGCTACTAGAGCAATGGTCAATTAGGGATGGATTCTACAACGGCATATATTTCGTCAACTACCACAAAGCAGAGCTCCTCGACATCATGGTCCGTGAAGACTACGACCACGGCTGTTACAAACGGCACCGGCAGGAATGTGATAACGATTATCATGACTTACACAGTAGGAAGCACGAGTGCAGCC